CAGTGTAATCCAAGACTACAGCCTTTCTCATCCATAAATTAGCAAAATGCTGTTGCAGCCTCATGGGCTGGTTTCATTTGTTTGTCCTGGGGCATTGTAGGTGAGCTGTGTTGTAGAACAGCGGGGAGAGTGAGGCAAAGTTGATGCAGAAGGTCCTTTTTTCTTCCCCAGTTCCAGCACTGTTCCCTGTGTTCAGGTTTAGCCTGTCACAAAGCTGTTTGGCTGGAATACAGATCTGTCTGACAGCTGTGCCCATCAGCAGACAACTTCATTAAACCTCATTAAGATGTCATTTCTCTGCCTTATTTCCCACCTCTTGGCTCTAATTAAAACCGTCTCTCTCTGCATCCCAGGCGGTCCTAATTTTCTCTGGGTACCTTCTGCAAGTTTTCTCCCTTTACGACCTCAGTGTGGAAAATCCGGCATCTTAAATACTGTTTATCCAGCCCGTTTTGGAAAAGACACCCCTAGACTTCTTCCTGTAGCATTCCCTGAGCAGCCTGCAGAGATCATCACCTCCTCCCAGAGCTGTGAGAGATGTGTGCTGGGGCTTTGTTTGCTCTCTCAAACTGTCTTTAAGGACTCAGCTAATGAATTCTTTCCCCCTGGACACGATAATTCTCATGGTTGATCCAGATGTACCTGAACTGGGTTTGGAGGATGCCAAGCTCAGACTGGCTGCAGTGCAGTGGTGGGGGCATTTGAACGATGGGAATACCCTAGTTGGCTGAGAAGTGGGCAGCGTTGGGTGCATGAAGATCTCCCTGGCCTTTGCCAGCTAGCTTCTGACTTGTGCAGCCCTGGGTTTGAGCCCTGGGTGAGTGTCTAATGGTGTTGGAAAATGCTGTGAAGGAAGAAGATGCATTGCAAAGGCGTAAGGAAGTACAAAACCTTTAAGGATTCTAGGTTTTCTTGCGAGAGTTATTTGTGTTTCATCCCCTAGTATTTATGGCCCATCGACATTGCACCGGTGTTCTAAAGATGACTGAGACTGCGAGAGGGGTAGGAGACGTGTCTGTGCAGAGAGGTATGGCAAGAGGTGGAGGCATGGATATTTAATCCCTGTATTTGAGGCAGCCCTTCACTGGGAGGGGATGCTGGGCAAATCCACTCAGCTGGGGCTGCCCTGTTCCCTCCTTGATGGCTCTGCCCTGCGGATGCTTGCAAACCCCGCGCCTGTGCGTTTCCAGCCTACCAGGCCCTGCTTCCTTCCCTACCTTCTGTTCCCCTTTTCATTACACCCCCTTGTACAGTAAAGCCTCCCGTCACACTGCCATTACTATTATTATTGCAGATTTACTGCACTTGCAGAGTGAACTGATTGTGGTGACAAGACCCAGCATTTTTCCCTCCTTCCCCCCGCGACAGCTTGAAATCAAGCCCTTCATTTGCATTTACATGATCTTGCTGTGCAGCTTATGAGATCGGGAGATTTATTTGCTACTTAGCTTGATGTTTGATTACACTCTAAGAAGGCAGTGAGCTACAAAGTGCAGGGATACATCAGAACTGAGCTACTGAAGGCCTCTGGGGGACAGTAACTCAACATCAGGTTTAGGTAGATGAGAAAGGGAATGTTCAGTGTTTTGAGAAAGGCAAATTTGATGAGATTTTTTCTTAAAGGTGGAGGAAAAAACTTTCCCCCTCACAAAAAATGGTTGTGAAGACACAAATGTTATAAAAACACACCTGAAAATCTGGATTTGTCAGTACAGAAAAGATGTTAGCAGGGGCTGGCAGCTTGCTGGGCTGCCTGCTGCTACGTGCTTGTAACTTCCACTCCCAAGAAGGTTATAAATAAAAAGTTGGCAGTTATCTTTCATGTTTTCATAAACATTAAAGGTCAAAGTCAAAGGAAGTTTTCCTTGCTGAAGGACCACCAAATCTGTCCTTGCTTTATTAAGCTTCAAAACACACCCCTGAGCATTAATCCTGCACTAATAGTGGGGAAACCGAGGCAGGGAATCAGTGTGCCCATGCAGGACAGCAAAGGGAATGAAGCTTGGATTGCAGAGAGAAGTGGACTGTCCCCAGCACTCTACAGTGTTCAGAGTAGAAGACAGAATTATTACAGTATCCCACAGCAGTAGGAGAGACTTCCAGAGGAAAAAGGTGATGGTTGGGCAAACTGCTGCCCTTGGAGTCAGGAATGGTAAAGCTGAAGGATATTACTTTAAGTTTAACTCATTTAGTTTCAAATACTCCAGG